CCAACCCTGTCACATACACCTGTATTTGTATGGGGTGTATGTGATGGGGTTGGCGCGATGATGTCATCACGCCGGGTACTCGTATGTGGGCGTATCTGCATGTGGACGTACCCGCCTGGAGACGGATAGAGGAGTGGTGTCTCGATTCCTGAGACCATTGAAAATATGTGTTTTCTGATGGCCTTAGGCGACCACTGTGAAAGGGTCATTTGAACCCCAAAGGGTCGCGACCCACAGGTTGAGAACCGGTGCTGTAGACATATATTTTATCATTAATCTATCCTTTGCAAGACACAATTAACTATTATAAATACAAGAATTTGGAAATTCTTCACTTATTTACTTTTTTCTTCTTTAGGTCCTTTTCCCAATACTCTTCGACAAGTTGAAGTAGAGATCATAAGTAATGACAGATGTAATGAAGTTCATGTATACGGTGGTGCTGTGTCATCAGGAATGATATGTGCTGGATTCTTGGAAGGAAAACTCGATGCCTGTGAGGTAAGACTAGACACAAATCCACAAAAATGAATCTATTGAATAGAGATGAGCTCACTGTCCATAAGTCAATGTCACTTCATGGATCTCCATAAAATTAAGTTGTGCAAGAGAGAGCAGAGTGTAAAAAGAGGGAAAGGAAGAACCATAAGAAATACTCCTATTATTGTCTCCATGCATATGTAAAAAATGACCACCAGATGCACATTAGTGCTCTAATTAGAGAAAAGAAGTGGCAGCAGATAAAAGAAACTAAGTCAGGAAGCCACACAATCATTGTTTCAATCCATAATTATAATTGATAGTTAAATATCTAATCCCTACTAGTTGTAAGGCATTGTGAGATGGGATTGGCAGTAGTGTCATTTTACGGGTGTTTGAGCCATTGACCTTAAATAGTACATCCAGAGAGAATTATACAATTTAAAAAAAATTCTTAATCATTAAACATTTAAAGAGAATATCACTTTTATTTTTCCCCCTTTTTAAAATTTATTGGGGTAACACTGGCTAACAAAATTACACAGGTTTCAGATGCACAATTTCACAACATATCACCCGTACACTGTATTGTGTGTTCACTACCCCAAGTCAAATCCCTCTCCATCATTTATTCCTCCTATGGTCTCCTCCACCTCCCCTCACCTTCCCTCACGCTGGCAATCACCACCCTGTTGTCCCTGTCTATGAGTTTATTCTCTCTCTTTTTTTTCTTTTTTGCTCAATCCCTCCACCTCTCCCACCCAGCCTCCCAACTCCCACCCCTCCAACTGCTGTCAGCCTGCTCTCTGTTTATGAGTCTGCCTCAATTTTGCTTGTTAATTCATTTTGCTCATTAGATTCCACATATGATTGAAAACTTATGGTACTTGTCTTTCTCTGACTGGCTTAGTTCACTTAGCATAATGCTCTCCAAGTCCATCCATGCTGCCACTTTTAAAGTCTGGTTATATAAAAGAAGAAAAATAAATATCAAAATTAATAAAGATTTTTACCTATAGCATTTGAAACTGAGCCCAACATTTCATAATTCTTGAAGGATTAGGAATGGCTTTGAGATTTTTACACATGAATGCTTTTTTTATATGCAAAGTTGCCACCATTGATCTGCTATTGGTAATAAATATTCATTCACTTATTCATTCACTTTTTTTTTGTGAATTGCAAGGTATTATGGCAATTACTGAAGGAAACATAAACACTTAAAAAAGCAGGAGTCCATGATGAATTTACAATCTAATAACAGCACATAAGTACATAACTAAAAGCAGTGGACAAAAGACAAGGACTTGGCTACATTTTCTGGAATACAAGGCCTCCTTTTACTAGTTTTAGTTCTTTTTTTTCTTTTTTTAAAAATATATTTTATTGATTTTTTACAGAGAGGAAGGGTGAGGGATAGAGAGTTAGAAAAATCGATGAGAGAGAAACATCGATCAGCTGCCTCCTGCACACCTTCTACTGGGGATGTGCCCCCAACCAAGTCGCATGCCCTTGACCGGAATCGAACCTGAGACCCTGCAGTCTGCAGGCCGATGCTCTATCCACTGAGTCAAACCGGTTAGGGCTAGTTTTAATTCCTAAGAAGCAGAAACAACATGTATGCTTCAAGATAGAACTGGATCACATGACTTTTAAGGAAGAACACAAAAAAGTCTATAATTAGGATAGACTCAAATCCACAAAAATGAATCTGTTGAATAGAAAGTTATATTTGAGTTTATAAGAAAGCAGATTTCCTCTTCTTATTGGTCCATGCTTCCTTCACCACTAGCACACTGAGGACCTAAGTTAGGATGTGGGCTAACTTAGGAAAGGAGCTAAGGAGCTGTGGAGGATAGCTTTTGGTAGACCAAGGTTTTCACACTCCCTCTACTGTGCACTGAAATGTACTAAAAGGCATGTTAAGGGAAGAGAGCTAAAGTGACAAGTCTCTGGGACCCCATGCCTACTTCAAACAAGACCATTTCTCTTATTTAAAAAAAAAATCTGTAAGGAACTTCCACATAATACTTTTTTGGAATGAATAGGTTCATTGCTAAAAGATAAGTACAAATCAGTTGTCCAAATCTAAGGTTAAAGATATCAAGAAAGTCCTCATGATTCACAACATTCAAACCAGATCTTGAAGGCTAGGGATTCCACCTTAGTTATGAAGCAAAGTCATTTGTGTAATAAATGGTGCACATTGGCTTGGAGTGCCCTTTGCATATCTTCTTCCTCTCAAACCTACTGCTACACAGTAATACAGTGCCCAGGACACCTATCAGCTGGTGAGAGTGGAATAAGGTGAGATTTAAACTCAAACCAAGAGATTATTCTACATAACAGAGTTAGGAGAGGTTTCATTGTAGAGAAACCGATGAGAGAGTAACAATTACCTTTAGTTGAAGCTTAAGGTATCATTTATGTAAGAACTGGACGTCTAAATTTAGATACAGTTTGCACTCTCTATTTAGATAGAGCAAAAATAAAAAACTATACAGGGATAAAACTGAAACATTATCTTTATTATCATCATCTTTCAGGTGAAGACATTCATAGAGGTAAGCAGACATAATAAGATATAAGTAATAGCACAATTATTATATTAATACTAATAGTAAGTAAAAATAGAATTAGTTTTACATACTTCAAAATATTAATTTATTAGATATTAAGTTGCTGATTAACTGTCATTCTGACACTCATTTATTACATTGACAATATTTCTCTTCTTCTCTAGGGTGATTCTGGGGGACCTCTGGTTGTAGCACGTGATAGAAACATCTGGTATATTATCGGAATAGTAAGCTGGGGAATAGACTGTGGTAAAGAAAACAATCCTGGAATTTATACAAAAGTGACTCATTATCGGGACTGGATTAAATCTAAAACTACTATCTAATGCAACAACCATCTACCTCCAAGTGAAAATGTCATGTGTGGTGTCTAGGAAATTGTGTCCAGTATGTGTTTGCCATGTATGCTGTCATTGAGGTCAAGATGCAAATAAGCATGAACTGACAACTCTCCCCTTAGATGTGAGGAAAAGACAGGCTTTCTTTCACATAAAGAAGCATTTTGCTGAAGTGTTTTGCTGACCATGAACGTACAAGAAACTGTCATCTCCTCAAAGATCCACCATTGCTGCTGTGTCTCTGATGACCTCCTTGTTCACCTTTCTATCCCTACTATACGCTTCTCAGTTTAGCATAATCCAGCAGTTTAAGTAGGTAAGTAGCAATTGGCTAAGCATTCTCTATTTTTTTCCGCTGACAGATCACACTGTCCTTCCCCTGACTCCACAGTTTTTAACCTTCCTCATCAAATAGTTCTCATTAGGAATCTGTAGGTCCATGTACTAGGCAAATCAAGGTAATTAGTTTTTTGGCCAATGCTAACACAAATGATGGAGGGGCATTAGACATGAAACCAGGACTTAAGAGATGGCACTACTGTGAGTTCTTTCCCCTTTGCCCTCAGATGCATGTTTTACCTCTCTTTGAAATTTGAAGAAAAACTGTCATTTACGTTTACACCCAGATTTTAATTTCCTTAAACAACTACACTAATCTTTACTTTTGAACAATAATGAAATATTTGAATCAGACAGCAAGAGAACTGAAAATATTGCCTAGCACTGGATTTTGTTTTAAACTATGTAAAAATGCCTTTTGATATTCAGAAAAGAAAATAAAAGTTTCTTGGCCTTTTCACTGAGAAGAGGAGGCAAGGACTGAGTAAGAATGAGCTTCTTTCCTCTTTAACAATGGGAGAAGTTCCGATCTTCGTGTAAATTTACTTTTCAGTTCTGTTTAATAATTTCTTAATACAGTTTATTTTCTAAAAAAAATTGCTTTCAATCAACTTCAGAACAATTAAGGAACCCACAGAATAAGTCCATGTAAATTAGATATTCATAAATAATTTAAACAAGAAGCCAGTATAAAATTAGACATTCATGGATACTTTGATGCAAGATTTTGGGAAATACCTTACTATACAATATTTCAATTTTATGTTTAAAAGTTAGGCATTATTTGAAAAATGGTATTTATAGAAAAACTTAACAATCAAGAAAGCATCTTTGAAATGGTTTAATTCTTTACCTAGGTCATTTTCATATATATTTAAATGCATTTTTGTGGCACTGTACATGGCAACATGACATGAGTAATATTCAACAAAAGTTTTTCTGTGCATCTAAACTTTTATTTGCTTCCCCCCTCTTTTTATAATTAATTAATTTAGTTAATGAAATAACTGCCAATGCTAAGAATTTTTGTGTTCTTTTTTTTTGTTTTATATCAAGGGAGAGTCTCTCTTGCACTGCATGATATTATGTTATATACATTAAAATATATTTATAATAATAAAGTCAAACTCATTCTTTTTGGTCATCACCATACTGCAGGGTTTCTCATCCTTGGTACCATAGACATTTTGTCAGAGATAAATCTTTGGGGGATGTGTTGCATGGAGGGCTGGCAGCTATCCTCTACTTTGTAGAAGGTTTAGTAGCATTCCTTCTTTCTATACACTGGATGCTAGCAGTAACCCTACCAAGTTGCAGCAAACAAAAATGAATCCAGACATTGCAAAATGTTCCTTGAGTGGCAAAATCATCCTCAGTTGAGAACCATAGTCATGGGATCAATAGCTAAAAGAAAAATTTCACTGTTAAAAATCTTGCACCATAATTTTCTTACATGAGTTTGGGAATATCTTTCTCCTCCTCATTTTTTTAAATTGATTTTTTAGAGAGAGAGAAAAAAAACACATCCATCAGATTGAGGGATAGAACACGCAACCTAGATATGTGCCCTGACCAGGAATTGAAGCCATCACCTTTTGGTGTACAGGATGATGCTCCAACCAACTGAGTCACACCAGCCAGGGCTCTTCTCCCTCTTTTTCTAATGCTGATGCATTGAGGATGCTGAGAGACCATCATGATCTCACCCATATCTAAACAATTCTAGATAAATTAAGATCATTTGGAAACTGGACCTGGCTGGAGGAAGGAGGCTGTTTGAAGTTTGAACTGCTATGGGCAAATAATTCATCTGTCTATCAGTCTATACAACCACCTATGGAGAGACTTATATAGAGAGAAATCTATGTCTTATATAATAAAAGGCTAATATGCAAATTGACCTTAATGGCAGAACGACCAGTTGCTATGATGCACACTGACCACCAGGGGGAAGACACTCAATGTAGGATCTGCCCCCTGGTGGTTAGTGTGCTCCCACAAGGGGAATCTCCACTCAGCCACAAGCTGGGCTGACAGCTGCGAGTGCAGTGGTGGTAGTGGGAGCCTCTCCTGCCTCCTCAGCAGCTCTAAGGATGTTTGACTGTGGCTTAGGCCCGCTCCCCAGGGGGGGCGGGCCTAAGCTAGTGGGTGGACATTCCCTGAGGGCTCCTGGGCTGCCAGAGGAATGTCTGACTGTCAGCTTAGGCCTGATCCCCCAGGGAGTGGGCCTAAGCCAGCAGGTGGATATCCCCCAAGGGGTCCAGAACTGTGAGAGGATGCAGGCCGAGCTGAGGGACCCACCGAGTGCACAAAGTTTTGTGCACCAGGCCTCTAGTAGATATATACCTACAAAGAGAGATATTTCTCAAATACCTTAATCATGCAAAATTGCACCATAAATACCCTATTTAGTATCTTCAAAATGCATAAAGAGATACTACTTGAAAGAGCATTATGTATTTGCCTGAGGCAGAATGGTCCACTCCATCATTCACTAACAGTGTAGAGTGGAGAATAGAAAATTGCAAAGCAACACTCGGCATTAAAAGCTGCACTGTCCAATATGGTAGGCACTAACCAGAAGGGGCCATTTAGATTTAAATTAGTTTAAATTAAATACAATTAAAATTTCATTTCTTCAGTCATACTAATCTCATTTTAAACACAAAATAGCTACCTATGGCATATTGGGCAATATGGATATACATCATTTTCATGATTGCAGAAAATTTTATTGGACACTACTAACCTAGAACATTCTATGTAACTACTTACATCAGCAACTTTCAACCTTTTTCATCTCATGGCACACATAAACTAATTACTAAATTTCTGCAGCAAACCAAAACATGCACTATATATTTTGCCAATCTGACAGAAAAATTGGTATAAGTTTGATTCATTCACACCAGACAGCAATTGTTGTGTTGACCAGTATCATATTTTTATATGACACTAAGGGAAAAGAGGTAAGTGCCCTGACTAAATGGGTATTGCTTGTTTTAAAAATTCTTGCAGCACACGGGTTGAAAATCGTTGACTTACATAATCACTTATTCATCAAACAAACATTATTTGAGGCTCCATGTGTCAGACATTGAGTACTCTAGACATTGGGTATACAATTGTATATAAAGCCAAGTCCTGTTTTCAAGATCACATACAAAGGTAAAAGTTTGTTTGATAACTGCTGGTGAAAGTAGGAAACCCTGGGGGGAAGGGGGGCGGGAAGGGGTCGCTCCTTTCAGACTCTCCTTCCTCTAGGGGCACTGGTCCAGGAGTGGAGAGGTGAGTACAGCAGGCCCACCAGACACCCACAGGTAGATGGAAGTGGTTAGAAATCACTTTTCAAACTTCCAAAGATCCCAGAACTTCCCCAATTAACGGTATATTAAAGAATCAAAAAAATTCTTTGTTGCTTTTAAAATAAACAGGGAATTTCTTATAACCCAACAAGATATATAGTGACAACCAAAGAAAAGAATATCAAGTAATGGAGAATTATCAGAGTCACAAAGTTGAAAATATTAAATGATGTTTTAAGCAAGAAGCCAACCCAAATAAAACAAGGTTTGGCATGTGCAATATGCTAATGTCATTTTGGTTGCCAGAGAGGAGGGAAGGGAGTTGATGAGCAAGAAGGGTGAAGGGGAATAAGAGGCACAACTTCCAGTTATAAAATAAAATAAGTCACAGTGATGTAATGTACAGCACAGGAAATACAGTCAACAATGTCATAAAAATTGTGTACAGTGACAGATGTTACTAGACTTATTGTGGATATCACTTCATAATTCATAAATATATAACTGTTGAATAAATAGGTTGTACACCTGAAATTAATATATTTTATGTCAACTATACTTGAATTAAAAAAGAAAAAAAACAACGTTGCAAGGTACTAAGAAACTTAGACCAAATGTGTTACTATGCTGCCATCTCCTGGTCAATGTTATTTTTAATGTATATTTTATTGTCATCTCATTTCAAACTATAATTTATACAATCTGTGTTCCAACATAGAGTAATACAAAGAAAAATATGGCAATCTCTCCCAAATTTTCTCCTAAGTTAATCAAAGTTCAAGTTTTGTATATCCTTTCATGGTTTTCTTTGTTTATCTAAACATAATCTATTCAGTTATAAAGGATTCACTCACTTAAAAAAATTGTATCATTTTATCTGCCCCTCTCTCTCTCACTTCTGCCAAAATGGTGAACTAGCATAGCATACTTACTTCCTCCAAATCAATCCAATCAGATAAACTATAGAAGAAAGAAGTAAACATGAATTCTAGGCCAGGAAATTATAATAAAAGTGAGAGACAAGGAGACTGAGGCTATCCTGAACTGGAGTATGTGAGGAGGGTGGGTGGCAGAAGCCTAGAGTGGAATAAGAGAGTACTTAAAGAAATACTTTCTAAGTTTTACTCTTTCATACCTCACCCCCACCCCCAACACCCTTCCTTTCCCAATGTTGCCTTGAGACAATGTTCTCCAGGTTTTCATACCAGAAAATAGTCACAGCAATCCAGACTACCAATTTTGGAAAGTATCAAGGCAAATGTCTACTAAGGAGAGGAGTTTCTACAAAAGGTGATAACTAAGCAGCTACTTTCAGATATTCTCTTCCTCACCCACATTCCTCCAGACCTCCAGGGCTGATATTGTTTCCTCCTAGTGCTGCTTAGCTACTCCTCCTATGGCCAGCCTTCACCCGCAGAGAAGAGCCAGTGCTGAACTTCTCAGTTATGCTCTAGCCCCAATCACCAGCTCATCTAGTGGCTTTGGTAAGTAGAGTGTCCTCTGGGCCACCCCATAGAACATATCTCCTGAAGGGTCTTCCAGCTTTACGCAACATACCCAGCCGTTTATTTCTTTCTCCACTCTCTACCAGGACACATAGGGCTTTTCTTTTTTTTCTTTTTCGTTTTCTTTTTTTTTTAATCCTCACTTAAGGATATGTTTTTATTGGTTTGAAAGAGAGAGGTAAGGGGATAGAGAGATAAACATTGTTGTGAGAAAGAAACATCCATCGGCTGCCTCTGACACACACTCCAACTGGGGATTGAACCTGCAACCTGGGTATGTGCCCTGACCAGGAACTAAATCCACCACCTTTTGGTGTAAGGGACGACCAACTGAGTCACACTGGCCAGGGTCATAGGGCATTCCTGCTTCACTCAGCCTTGACTATTTGCTTTCCTCAGGCTAAGAGCCACCCTAGCAGCAAATCTGCCCAATCTCCTTGGGTCCTTGCCAGCATGTTAAATACTATATCTCGAGAAAGTCAATAAATTCTTATTTATTAGTCTTTCATTCAACGCTGCTTCATCAACCACCCTCAAAATCCAATGCCAGAAACAGGAGTGCTCCTCTGTCAGCACATACTTATTCTTATAACATTTTCAGTGCACAGTCTTCTTCCTCCCTTATCATAGCCTGCACATTCCTAGCTGTTATTGGCCTACTTGTCAATCAAGGAGGTGGGAATATCTCTCAAGGAGGCAGCTGTGTCTTGTAGGGGAAAGGGCTCTGTAGCATCTTTCAGCAAGGGAGCAGGGGCTGGCTCTAACTAAAGAGTAAGGGACTACTTCTGCAAAGTCTGAGGGTTCAGGGGATCTGCAGAACCAATATCATCATGACATCCATCTGCTTGTCTCCATCTTACATCTCAAGGTCCTAGGTTTTCCCAACCAGGGCCCTGACCTAAGTGTCTCGGATCTGCTTTGACTAAGTTTTCAAATAAACTCTGGCATTCTAACTATTAGAACTTCAGCCTGTTGCTTAGCTGTGTCTGCTCTTTCTCTGTAGGAGATCAGGGCCTCTTTTTAACCTTTAACTAATTGTAAATAACCCTCACTTTCTCCTTATCCCTATGCAGAGCAACAGTGAAAATCAGCAGTTGGCAATAAACAGCCAACTCCATTATTTTCTGTAGGTACTTTTCCAATTCATTTTTCAATTGCTTGG